TACAATTTGGTCAGAAAAGTCAGTGTAAAGCTGGGGGTAAGGAAGGAATGGTTTCTGAAGAGACAGATGTCCTTACAAAGAAGCCAAGAGCCCCATAATTTCAATCATGTTATATACATATTTATTCATATATACATACACACATATTTTATATCTAGATTCTGCATGAGAGAAAATGCACAAACATTGTCTTTCTCAATCTGATTTATTTCACTTGACATTATCTCCAATTCCATCCATTTTCCTGCAACTGACATAATTTCATTTTTCTTTATGGCTAAACAAAACTCCATTGTGTATATGTACCACATTTTGCCCACATTTTCTTTATCCATTCATCAGTTGAAAGGCATCCAAGCTGATTCCATAGCTTGGCTACTGTGAACAATGTTGCAATAAACATAGGTGTGCAGGTGTCTCTACCGTATCCTGATTTATATTCCTTCAGATATATGCTCGAGTGTTATCAACAGACCATATGTAATTCTACGGTTAGTTTTTTTTGAGGAACCTCCATACTGATTTCCACAATGGCTATACTAATTAACATTCTCACCAGCAGTGTATGAGGGTTCCTTTCCCCCTGAATCCTCACCAGCATTTGTTATTATTTGTGTTCTTGGTGACAGCCGTTTTGACTGGTGTGAGATGAAATTGCAATGCCATTTTGATTTGCATTTTTTTTATGGCCAGGGATGTTGAACATTTCATGTATTTACTGGCCATTTGTACTTTTTTCAAGAACTTACTTTTCAATCCATTTACCCATTTTTAATGGGTAAGAGAGGAAAGGGAAAGAGAATGATTGGAGGGGGGTAAATAACAGAAATACCTCGTGTCTATGTATGAAGACGGCATAAGAAAACCCATGAAAAATGGGAGGTGAGGGGACGGAGAAGAGAGTAATAGAGGGAGTTAATGTAATCAAAGTACAATATGCATGTGTAAAATACCAAAGGTGAAATCCCTTTGTACAATTAATATAAAGGAAGAGAGGGAGGGAGGGGGCAAGGCAGGAAGGAAGGAAGGACGGACAGATGTCAACTATTATGCATCAGGATATTAGGAAAGATCCTTTAAGGACATCTCAGGAACTAGCTTGACCCTCACAGACTCAAGACTTAATGGTTAACTCCACTGAAAAACTTTCCTTTGAGAAGACAGTACCTCTGAGGTACCCTGAAGCATGCACTACTTTGCGTGGCGGAATGATACCCTACATTCATGCCAGGAGCTTAGACTCCCTGCCAACAAAAGCCACAAGCACTAAGTAGAACCAAGAAAGAGGATGTGGGCTGCAAACAGCAAGGTCATAGGGGTGGGGTTTCCCAAGCTCACTGAAGTTCACATCATTACACCATGTACCCAATATGCTAGACATGAAGATACAGAATTTAAATTTACCCTGCTGAGTTTCAGTCCTGCTTTGGCCAAATCCTTCCTCGCTATTCTCCCCTTTAGGAATAAGAATGTTTGCTCTGTGCCACTGTATCTTAGAAAAATGTAACTTTATTTTTTACTTTATAGGGATTCAAAGTTAAGTGTATGTCTTGAATCTCAGAAGACTGAATTTGCAGACAGACTGACCAATACACACACACACACACACACACACACACACACACACACACACACACACAGAGTATCTCTTATCCAAAGCCATCACCATGTATATCCCATTGCTCTTTGACCCAGAAGTATTGGCCAAAATAAACCTTTTCTCCCCCCTATTAATTCACCCAGTCTGTGCTACTGTACTATTAGCAAGAGAAAACAGACTAAGACAAGTATCTACAAGATAGATGAAATGAATGGGTGATATAGACAAAACGGCAATTTGGCTTTCAGTGCTTTAAAACAGAAAGACAACAGAAGTGATTCTTTCAAAAATTCCACCAAAAAAGGAATCACAATTGGTCATCATTATACCCCCCAACACCTAGAACAATACTTGTCACGTTTGGGTTCCTAAAGAAATGTTGCTGAGGAGAAACAGAAGAGAGAGAAAGGAAGGAATGGAAGGAGGGAGGGATGAAGACATAGGGCACCCATTTTAATATATTCCCAGATTTTACCTTTTGTTTTTGTAATTTTTCTCCTCACTTTGAAAATACCCACCTTATTCATTGCTCATAATGTTCTAAGATACTTATTTTCCCAGCTTTCCCAGGTATCCATAAACAGTATCTTTGCCTTCCTTAATATTACACTTTATTTTGCTCTGCCTCACTGCATTATCTAGTACTTACACAATAATGTTAAATAACAGCAACATTAGTTGCTTTCTTGACTGGCTCCTGTCTTTAAGGGGAATGGATCTAGTTTTTTCCCATTAAGCATGATGTCATGTGTGGTTTGACATATTCAATTCTATTCAAAATCATGAATGAACTCGAATTTGTATTTAGATGTACAAAACATTTTAAATTAGATTTACCTTTAGTTTATTGACATAATGAATTAAACTAAAACATGATAATGAACTATCTCCACTTTCTAACAAACTGCATTTTGTAAAGGTAGTAAGTCTTTAAATATGTAGTTATAATTCTATTTGTTAATATAACTTAGCTTTTCATCAATGTTAGGGCTGCTCATGTGCTTTTGTTCATGTTTAGCATCAGTGTTTAAGCTAAACTTGTAAAGCAATGGGGACCTAAGTCTTTAAATATGTAGTTATAATTCTATTTGCTAATATAACTTAGCTTTTCATCCATGTGTTGGGGATGCTCATGTACTTTTGGTCACATTTAGTTATCAGTGTTTAAGCTCAATTTGAAAAGCAATAGGGAGTTTTCCTTCTTTCTTGATGCTGTGGGTCAATTTAAGGTAAATTCAAAATTATCTACTCCTTATAAGTTTAACATAATTATCAGTGTAGCTACCCAAGGACCTAAGCCTGATTTATTTTGTGGGCGGGGGGAGAAAGGTGTTCCTTGTTTGTTTTTTGTTTTTTTAAAGATAAATTTGCTACTCCTTCCTTCCTTTCTTTACTCCCTCCCCACTCCGCACCATAGGTACAGGGGTTTATACTTAGGATCTTGTGCTATAAGAGCTCTTACCACTTGAGTCACACCCCTTAGCCCTTTTAGTTTTATTTTTCAGATAGGGTCTCTTGCTTTTAACCTGTGCTGGCCTTGGAATGTGATCCTGATCTCCACCTTCCGAGTAGCTGGGATCAAAGGCATGAGCCACTGCTCCTGGCTCTCCACTAATTTTCTTTCTTTTTTATTTATTTACTTATTTATTTATTGGTGGTACTGGGGTATGAACTCAAGAGCCTTATGCTTGCTAGGCAGGCGTTCTACTGCTTGAGCCACAATGCAGCCCTTTTTGCTTTAGGTATTTTTCAAATAAGGTCGCACCATTTATGCCTAGGCTGACCTGGACTACTACCCTTCATTTGCTTCCCAAGTAGCTGGGGTGACAGGTGTGTGGGCTACCACACCCAGCTTTTATTGGTTGAAATGGGGTCTCTCTAACTCTTTGCCTGAGTTAGCCTTGAACCAGGATTCTCCCATGTAGCCAGGATTATAGGTACGAGCCACAGCTCCCAGCCTTCCTTGCTAGTTTTCTTGAATTCTTTCATATTTATTTATGTTTGCATTTCCCACAGTTCCAAAATTATTATCAATTTGCATTTTCTTATTTTTATCCATTAATTTTTAATCTTCAAAACACTTTGAAAATCTCAGTCTAAGTGTACCAATTTATCCCAACTGGTAAGAAAATGAGTTATAAAGAGAGGAAAGGATGAAATAAAACTATCATTCAATTTATTATAATAGAATTTGAAAATGTTGCCAGATATAAAAGTCAATAAATAAGTTAGTTGACTGCACTTCTATAAATCACCATTTTAAAAGATAACCATTTATAATAGCATCAAAAATATAAAGCTACCAGAAATAAATCAAACAAGATCTGTAAAAGAGAACTCATTAACATGTCAAAGATCTAAAGTAATGGAGAGGTCTATCATGTTCATGAATTAAGACTCAATATCGTAAAGATGTCAATTCTTCAAGGTAATTTACAGATGCAATCCCCCACTGAAGTCCTAATAGATTGTTTTGAGCTTTGGTAAACTAATTCTAACACTTTTTAATTGCAAGTGTTTAGAGCCAAAAAGCAAAGCACCCTGGAAGTGGAATGAAACTTGGGAACTCGGAGAAATCCAAAAAGTCTACAAGGCTATATAGTACTTAGAACAGTTATGGGCACAGGGATAGACAATAGACCAATGGAACAAAAGAAAGTAGTTTGACAGCTTCGTTTGAGTGAACAATCAGCACCTCTATTCGTGGGTAGAAATTTCTAAGGCAATTCTTGAACATGTGTGCCAAGATACACATAGGTTAAAGAGCACTCTTAAAAACAGCTGAAGCTGGAAACAGCCCAAACATGTATTAATTATGTACTAGATAAATGGTAACACGCAAATAAAATGGAATATAACAGTGCCAAAAAGTAAAGTCAAAAATGATCATAAAAGTCAGAATGAGTAGATTACCTTTTAGAGAGAGAGGGGAGATATGTTCTGATAGGGCATAAGGAGGCTTTAAAAAGGTACTAGCATTATTCTGCTTCTTAGCCGTGGTGGAATTAAACAGGTATTTGCTTTTGTTTTTTTTTTTTATTGTTATGCTGGGTGGGGGTACATTGTGGCATTTACAAAAGTTCTTACACTGTATCAAATACATCATATTTGAACTCACCATCTCCACCATTCTCCTTAATCCCCCCTCCCCCGATTCCTGAAATAATTAACAGGTATCATTTTTCCATTTACATACATGTGTAAACAGTATTTGCAATTATTCTTTAAACCTTACATATACACTTTACATGCCTATACAGTTCACAACAAATTTTTAAAGACTTAAAAGTTTAACAGCCCAATCTTTACTTTCAAATGTTTACTTACTCACAACATCGTGAAAAGAACAGACATCTATATTCTCACAATTAACAAGGAGAGGAGTCTGAAGCCAACATACCTTGTATAGTCCAAAGCCAGGATCAATAAGACAAACACGAGCTGATGTAGAAGGCTGACTGGAAGCTCCCACCCTTGTAGTTTTCTTCACTTTAGGTGGACTATTAGAACACGGTTTAGCTGATACATCATTCTGCTTGGATGTGCTAGGAAGATCGGAGTCTGGACGAACTAGTAGCTGAACTATATCATTCAGTCCAACATCATAGTCAAATAAAGTATATCCATTTTCTAACTAGAAAAAAAAAAAAAGAAAATTTCATTGAAATGCTTCTCTCAAAACTTACCTTTCTACATTTTTTAGTTGCCCAAATGTCCTAGCTAACCTATTAAAATTCATAGGACTGCAATTTAATGCCCTTGAAATCACTCTTACAGCCTTTGATGTATCTTCTCTGAACCCCAATAAATTCTTAAGAACTACATAAGTACTATTCCATATTGGATAAGTCAAAAAAAAAAAAACCCAAAAAACTAAAATTTGTAACTAACAAGAAACACTGCTAGCCATTAAAAACTCAAGATCCTCCTGCCTCAGCCTCACAAGTGCTGGGATTTCAGTTGTGTGCCATCATGCCTGGCTTTCTCACCAAATTTTGTGCATTTTAATGAACAGCACCTGAATCTAATGCAAGGTAAAAAAGGTGAATTTTGAAAACAAGTTATTTCACGACCTGTGTTCATAAAGACATCAAGTCAAATACTTTATATTTTCAATCATTGCTGATAACCTTTTAAGTCAACCAGGAAAAAAAAGAAACAGAAATAATTATTATAACTCTGTTTATGCTATATTTCATTTGTCTGAAGTTCTCTCATTCTATTCACCGGCAAAGATTATCAAGTTTATCATGAAGTTTTACAGGAGAAATAGCAAATAACCTTGCAACTCATCCATATTTTGAGAGTGTTATGAATTTGTATCCCCCCAAACACAAATTTTGAAGTTCTACTCCAGAGTAGCTCAATGGACTTAGGATGTAGCTCAGTGACAGGCCACCTACTTAGTGTACACAAGGTCCTACGGCCAATCCCTTCCTACACACATACACAAACCATGCCTCAGAATGTTATCTTATTTTGAAATAGGGTCTTTAGAGGTGATTAAAGAATACATTTGACTAAATAAGTGCAAAACCTATTGCTCTGGACTGAATTATGTCCTCCCAAAATTTGTATGGTGAAGTCCTAACCCCCAGTGCATTAGATTGTGGTCCTCCTTGGAGATAGGATCTTTAAAAAGGTAATTAAGTTAGGTGAATTCATTAGGTTAAGTCTCTAATGCGGTATGACTGGTATCCATATAAAAAGGGAAAATGTGGACACAGACACACTGCAGGAAGGCCATGTAAAGACACACAGGGAAAAGTAGGCCATGTAACTGGAGTAATAAATCTTCAAGCATGTCTATACTTCTTTGTAGAACTGAGAAAAATTTCTGTGGTTCTGAGCCACCTAGAGTTCTGATACTTCGTTACAGAAGCACTAGCAAACTAAGTCTCTATTTTGCTTCTGTATAATGTTGTCAGCTTATTTCACTATGCTACAAGAAAACTAAAATTATTACCACAACTATCATTTTCCCATGAGCATGACCAATTTAAACATTGCTCACTTCCTCTTTACATGTAATATTCATCACCATTCACAACTGTCTAACACAAATAACCCAATATTTGAGAAGCCAATGTGAGTCAATGCCCTGTATAGCTATCCTTATCTCAACCAGCAAAACCCTTTGTTCCTTCCTATTATTGCTTATACTCTCTCTACAACAAAATTAGAGATAAGGGCAAAATAGTTTCTGCTGGGTATTGAGGGGGGGAGCGGGAGGGGGTGGAGTGGGTGGTAAGGGAGGGGGTGGGGGCAGGGGGGAGAAATAAACCAAGCCTTGTATGCACATATGAATAATAAAAGAAAAATGAAAAAAAAAAAAAAAAAAAAAAAATAAGTCTGTCCTTTAATTGTATACTTACAAATGTACGAGATCAGTGATTTTATTCAGGTGGTCCAATTACACACACAGTCCAATTCCACAGGTTGCAAGCATTCATATTTATTAAAAAGAACAAGGGATCAAGAATTTCACAAACTGCCTAGAAGAGGAATTAAATTAGGTACTATCTCACAGATTAGTTAGGGGTTTAGTCACTTGCTTAGCCTAGGGGCTTAGCTCAAGTGGTAGCGCACACTTGCTTAGCATGTGCAATCTTAGGTTTGATCCCCAGCAACACACACAGGCACGCAGACACACAAAGTATGTTTAGCCTAAATAACCCTAAGTATCTCAAGGCAATAAGCAGATAAACCATCATATGAACAGGGATGTTAATATACTTTACTAAAAACAACAAAGAACTCTATCCTGAAGGGGAGCGGGAAGGGACGACTCGAGCAAAAACTGAATTTAAACCTTCATTCTGACAGTCTCCAACAGTCAAAAAACAAAACAAAACAAAACAAGAACCTCCTACCTACTTCTGGAAGAGCTGACAAAGTACAACTTGACTAAACATAAAACTGATGAATGTTCTGACAAAAGAAAAAAAAACTGCCCTGTTTAATGAAGAAAATACAAGATTCTGTAACAGTATGAAATACTGGTAGGTATTCCCAAAAAATGAAGACAGCCGTTAAAAAGGTAAAATAAAGATGACATGGTAGCGCAAGCCTGGAACCCCAGCACTTGGGAGGATGAGGCAAGAGGATCGCCCATTTGAGCCATTCTGGCTGGGACTTAAAACAGAGAGAGAGAGAAATTAAAGGTGTTTCCATATGCATTTTTAAAAATCTCTTTGTTGGTGGAGGTTTTGTTTTTGGTGGTTTTGGGATTTTAACTCAGGACATTATATTTACTAGGCAGGCGCTCTGCCACTTGAACCACATTCTCAGCCTCTTCTCTTTAATTACTTTGTCCAGATAGGGTCTCCTGCTTTTTGTCCAGGGCCATATTGGACATCTATCTCATACCTATGCCTCCCAAGTAGCTGGGATAACAGTGTGAAACACTGCATCCAGCTTCTACATTTTTCTAGTGAAGTTTGAGGCAGAGTCTGAGGGACCTTGGGGGCATTCAACCCCTCTGACTAGTTTCTACCGAATGATTGTCAAGAGTAAATACAAATTGCTTCAAATGATACTTTTTCTAAACTTGGCTTGACAGGAAAAGTAATGTATAAGCATTTCAAGGCATGAAGCATTATAATAAAAGTTATAACCCCCTTTCTTCATGCTTATGATGACACACTTTTCCCTAGATTACATGCTCATCCCTAATTCACAGACATCCTTCCAGTCTTCCTAAAACAATCATTATTCACCGCATAGCAAATCACACACAGCTTTATTCTCCAAAGCTCCATATTGTAAAGAGCTGTTATGTGTTGGAATGAAAAATTCTGAAATTCTTCCATAATTAACCGAAGTACGGACTGAAAATTATCTGCATTCTAATTATGCTGAGTGGGGGACGAAGGGATGAGTTCATGTAGGAATTACAAACACCTAAGTGCTTCAGGCATGTACTACAGTCCATCAATGTCTCATAGAAGTATATGTTTGAGGACTGCCATACTGGAATTTGAAATGCAAGACTTTCAATTCTGAATCAGGAATGGTTAGGCCTTTGTTTTCTCAAATTGTACTTTTGAATTTGTGCTGGGTTGAAGAAAACAATTCCAAGAAGCAGGAAGAAGTCCAACAATGAGCAAGGGAAAAGTAGAAAGAAAAAAAAACCCAGTGGCAGTGGCCCAAAAGGTAGCGGGAGAAGTCACTTCCAAGGGGCTAGGGATGGCAAGGGATCTAAGAGGAGAGCTTAACAACTTTCATGTATCTTTCACATCACAATATATATATGTATGTGTGTGTGTATGTGTATATATACATGAGCACATATTCCTTTGAATAGGCAAATATACTTTTTACTTCATGTGAAAAGAATATGAAGGCAAAAGGCAACTCAGTTTTTCTTTACCTGTGTCCTACTCCATAACTACAATCTATTTAAGACTATCCCAATAGTGATGACAAGAGAAGAAAGGGAAGAGCACTTTCAAAGTAAGAGCTCCAGATTCCCAAAAGATTTGGAGATCAAAGCCCAGTGTGGTAGTGCATATAATCCCAGGACTTGGGAGGCTGAGTCAGGAGGATGGAAAGTTTGGGACCAGCCTGAGCTATATAGATTGTGAGACCCTGTCTCAAAAAAAAAAAAAAAATTGAGATCCACCAACAGAAGTCTTTAAAAAGATCCAATCCCCACAGTGCCTCAAATTCAATTTCCCAGACAAGAAAGTCCAAATACTATAATAAGAAATTACATAGCCGGGCACTGGTGGCTCATGCCTGTAATCCCAGCAGAGATCAGGAGGCAGAAACCAGGAGGATCACGGCTCAAAGTTAGCCTGGGCAAATAGTTCACAAGACCCTATCTCGAAAATACCTAACACAAAAGGGGTGGTGGAGGCTCAAGATGTAGGCCCTGAGTTCAAACCCTGGTACTGCAAAACAAAAAACAAACACCAAAAAAAACCTTACAATTGCTAATCTCTATTTTGACCCTTGAAAGTGGAGTCCAGAGCTGGAGGCATGGCTCAAGTGGTAAAGTAAAAGGCAGAGATCAACCCCAGTACCAGGCCCAAATGCAGAGTTAATTATGCTGTTTCTCAAACGTAATTTGAATATTGATCACCTGAAGACCTTGTTTAAATTCACATTCTGCTTGGGTAGATCTAGTTTGAGGTGACCATGCAAGGGTAAGGCTACTGGTCTTGAGATCCAGAAAGCATACTAAATATGAAACTAGTAGGAGGCTAGCCTCTTAACATTCATTTTCAAATTCTGGTGTTCGTCAGAATCTCCCATGAGGTCTTGTTAAATCTGACTATGTACTTGCAATTCTGAGACGTGCTAAGCATGCATAATAAATATCCACAGGTTGCTGGGCACCGTTGGCTCACACCTGTAATTGTGGCTACTCAGGAGTAAGAGATTAGAAGGATCATGGTTCAAAGCCAGCCCAGGACAAATTGCTGGCAGAGTGGCTCAAGCAGCAGAGCACTAGCCTAGCAATGGAGGAGGCCCAGAGTTCAAACCCCACCATCCCCCAAAAAATCCACAGCTAGTCTAAGTACACATCAAAAATTAAAAGTAGAAGACATAACAAATGGGGGGAGGGGTCAAAATTGTATACATTACATTATCTTGTTTTGTTTTTAAACAGGGTCTGTCACAGAGGATAGCCTCCAGAGTAGGGAATAAGATCCAGCTTGCATAAATTTGTTTTTATTTATGATACTTTTCACTCATTTGGCAACAAAACATCTTGAGAAAGGGGCACCTTTTTTCTAATGAGCACAAAGGTATTTTACAGGACAGGGACAGCCCTGTAGTGCCAATGGTGCTAATCCATAGCTACAGGAACACTATGCTCTCCAAGGATGTGACCCTCCAAAAGCAAACAGAAATAATATTCACTGCCTCAGTCACCGGTCGTTCATAAGGACATAAACACAGTTGGCAGTAATGTCTTCCTTTTCTCTCTCCAAGTCAATGGCTGGCACCAAAAGTCTATCCCTCACCTCTCCTGGTTTATCACTGGGCTGAATAAAAACAAAAAAATCGAAGGAGTGGGTTATTGACTGACCCAGGAGAAGAAGTACAAAGGTTGTTATCCTCAACAGTTTTTCCCAGAATCTGGAACCATCTTCCTGGTTCACTGAGTCTACTTTGTAGCCCTGAATTTAACTAATGTTCACCTTTTCCCCCAAGACACCCAGGTACACTTTATTTTAGCATATCCGATCACTGGACTTCAAGGTTATCAAGGAATAACATCCTTCGTTTCTATCTCTGGTGTTGAAGCTAGAAAATAAAGCTCAGATTCTCAATCACATGTTTTTCACCTGTGATCAAAAGGAAAAAATTAGCCACTGGAGGCATAGAAATATAAAAGTATTTAATACAGGTACAATTATTTCAAAAGCAAAGCTTCTGTTATAAAAAGTTATAACTTTTTACAAGTCAAAAGTACTAAGAAATCAGTATAAAACTGTCTGCAAATGCAAACAAAAACTACTATAACATTTTTTAAAGGGGGAAAAAAACCCATAACAACAAAATCTAGCTCTGTCTTTCCCAGAGTATAATTTGTTACTCTGAAATTTCTGGACAGTATTGTAAGGATAAGCCTATGAAGGGGAGAAAAACATTCCTTCCAAACCTTTTGCCTGTAGATTACTTCTACCGAATCAAAGCGAACTGCATTTATTTCAAACCTCAGGACTAGAGCCAAACTATGGTCTACCAAGTGCAGAATGCCAACTTTTTAGTGGATTAACAATGACAACACAAAGACAAGAAAAATATGACGGGCTTGGATGTCTAGGTATAGACTATGACAGGCTTTTGGGGCAGGAAATATCTCAGACTGACAGAGATGCCCACAAACACCTTCACCACCAAAAACACTTTCAGCCTCCAAGGACTGCTGGCTACACAGCAGTACCGTGTCAGAGCCTAGAAGGGAATGTTCAGAGGTAAGCGGGCAGAAGAATCCTCTGGAAATAAACCCCTGGCCCCATACCCGGCACTTTTAAACCTGGCTCTTGGGTACGTAACCGTTCCTCCACCCCAGGTCTCTAAACTCGTCCAAAACAGACTCCAAATCTGCGATAAGATGCAACCTGGAAACCTTCAGTATGCCCCAAATCCTTCCACAGGGAGGTGGCAGGGCTGAGGTTCCGGCGCCCGAGAGGGAAATGCCAGAGTTCCTATCTCGGACCTGGGAACCCGGGGCACGGAAGCGACGCACGCGCCAGCCGAGTCAGCGCAGCAGGGAAGCCTACTCGCCTCTCCCGCGCTGTGGCATGGCTGCCAGAGCCCGCTACCCTCCACATCCTCCCAGGGGCCCCAGGATCCACGGAGCGCGGGAAGCGAGGAACTCCGGGCGCTGGCAGGCTGTGATTGAGGCTGCTGAACCGCGAGAAAAAAGAAAGAAAGAAAGAAACGGCAAAGTCTGCACGTTCCGGCTGCCCTTACGTCTGAATGCACTAGACGCACCTGTAGTCTGGATGGCAGGGACCCGCTGCACTCGCTCCCCACACACCCCCAAAACACCGCAGGCCCGGGCCCGGACCCTGCGCCTCGCTGTGCTGCCCACGCGAAACCGAGCCAAGTGCGCCCCGCGCATCCGGCTGTCGGGCCCACCAGTGCTCAGAAGCCCAGCCGCTCCCGCCCTGACTTCGCGAGGGCGCGCCCGCTGCGCCTCACCTGCTTGCCCCGGTAGAAGAGGCGCTGGCATTCGGGCCGCACGTCGAACAGCGCCCAGACCCGCTCGCGTAGCTCCTCGATCGTGGCTTTGCGAGAAACGTCCTCAATGGTGCGCGTCTGGGAGCCGTCGATGGTGCGAACCTGGATCCACATCTTGGTACCGGGTGACGGGGCCGGCCCCCTTTGTCTCCCCCTGCGCTCAGGACGCCGCGCCCCGCCTGGCCCACGCCGCCTCCCGGGCAGCTCTAGATCTCCGCGGCGAGCTAGGGGAGCGAGCGAGTGAGCGAGCGCGCGCACAGGCGAGGAAAGAAATCGACCCGATTCCGGGCCCGACAAGCGGCGGCCCAGACAGCGCGCCCGCCCGGCCCAACTGAGAAGGAGGGAAAACCGGCACCAGCCCGGGGCGCTACCGCAGCCTCCACCTCACAAACAAGAAGAAGCCATGTCTGGAGCGCGCGGAGTGTTTACTTATAGCGCTATAGCTCCCACATGGAGGTCACGGCGCCAACCCGGATCTCGCGAGATCCACGCGGGGCTCCGCCTTAAAGGGACAGCGGCCCCCGGTGCTAAGATAGGCAGAGGCAGGGGGCGGGGCGCGGGGGCGGGGCTGCCGAAAGCCGTTATTTGCCACACCGCCTGCACCTGGGCCTGCCCTGTACCCCTGGGTTTCGGGCTGCTGGTAGTGGTTGTCTAGTTTCGAGGTCGAGGGGGCAGATGGTTCCTCAGGCCTGGCAGATACGGCTCTGTGGGCTCAAAAACACCCGAAATAACGAACGCTGCTGTGCATTTGTGTGGTCATTAGTGGGGGAAAGCACAGCAGGAGTGCTCGGCCGCGCTCGGCCCAACAGCGCCTACCACACGTCCCCCGCGGGACCCCGGGAAAGTCCCGAGGGCGCTGGTGCTTCGTGACACGTTTCCCGCCCCGTCCCACTGCTGAATTCACGCGGACACCGCTTCCGGGGGCTCCTGCCCCGGGGCGGAGGGGGCGGCCTGGGCGCCGCAGGCCGAGTCCTGCTGGGATGGCGCGGGGGTCGCCGCGCTGCCGCTGGGCCTCCGGGATTTTAAAGGGACCAGGATTTTCGTAATAATCATAATAATTACAAGCACAGACAAGGTCAGTAATATTTGGACTCAGCAACAAAAAGGCCCAACACAGGAAGGACAAAAATGTGGAGTATACATACATATTTTTTGCCTCCACCCTTAATGAAAATTTCACATTCATCTAAAAACCTCTAAATATAATTCATTTTGTCTGTTCGTGATGTAACTAAAGGAAATATTGAGTATTCGTTACGTATGGAAATGAGGCGATCGATACACCTAACAGCACACTTCTGACCTCCCCTAAAAATGCGTAACTAGAGCTGCGGTGTGGCTAGCGCCAGCCTAGCAAGCACAAGGCCCTAAGTTCAAACTTCAATGCCACCAAAAAAATGGAGGGAGGAGGATTACTGTTTGCTATTTTACAAGGTTATAATTACACCCTTCTGTAGTTACAACTTTTTTTTAGTTACAGGCTCACATTGTATACAAGTACAGCATGGAATGTGTTCAATGGTATATTGTAGTCAGAGGCAACAATTAAACATTCCCTTCATGGATTGAGATAGACCAGGACTGCAATCTCAATTTTGCTGCTTACTTAACATGTGATCTTGGACAAATTACTTGCTTCAGTTTCCTCAGTGTAAGATGGTGCTTATAAACACCTAATAAGTGTAGAGTGGTTAATTTTGTGCCTATCTCTCAGTAATACACAACAAAAAAAACGTCTTAGCCCTATTGTTATCAAGAGGATTCAGATAAGCAGAGACTGACTAAAGAGAATAGGGTGCTCAAGATTGAAAGTATGCATTTTCACAGATCACAAGAGATTGCATATCAGAGAAAGGTTGACTAAATACATAGAAAAGGGCAATGTGTGAACATTAGCATTCAAAGTAGATTTTTGTAGGCCTGAGGAGAAACTAAGGCTTTTTAAAGGAGTGCATTGGTATGATTAAATAAGCATTTGAGCAAAGTACTGAAAAAGTGTAGAAGGATGCCTTAGGGGAAAAGTAAGGGGCAGGAAGATTGGTGTCCTTGTTGACTGACATCTTAGCCAGGAGATACTTGTGTCCATTTTGGCAAAATTGGTGGCTGTGATAGGAAGCAGAATTAATGATAGGAAAGGAAAGACTGTATTCCCAAGTATTCCAGAAAATGTAGCTTAGAAGACTTGTAGGATACATGGATATGAACGATGAGGAAAATAGAATATTGACAATTCTCATGTTTCTAGGAGACTTAAACAGATGGGTTGGGTAAATAGTATTCTTAACAGAACTAGAACAGGAAGCAAGTTGGGGAAATGCAGTAAGTTATACTTGAGCTGTGTTGCATTTGAAATGCATCCAAAATATACCTAGCTGGAAATATCTGACAGTTGAAAACACAAGTTTGATATTATAAAGGAAAATGAGAAAGTTTTGAGAGAGGAACTAATTAAGACCTCTTGTACTCATTCCTTTTTTTTTTTTTTTCTGCACTGGATTCAAACTCTAGGCTTCTTACCACTTAAGCCACTCTGCCAGCCCAAATACTAGCTTCATTGTGTGTGTGTATTTGTGTGTATGTATGTTACTGACATTTGAACTCAGGTCCTCATGCTTGCTAGGCGGGCACTCTACCACTTAAGCCACTCTACCAGCCAAATTCCTATGATGAGATTTATCCTTCTGAATGTGATGGGGTTTTCATGAAAAAGTCAACACTTGGGAGAGTAGAGGAATTGGTGGTATTGACTGAGAAGGGCACAAGGGCATCTTTTTGGGTGAGGTAATATTCCATATTATTACCTGGGCAGTGACCACAGTGGGGAGATATATATATATATATATATATATATATATATGTTGAGCTATAAACTTTTGTTCACTTTATATACATTGCGTTTTACATATGCATATACTCACATAATTGTATAGAGGTTCTTCTTAGAAAAAGTGAGTTTTTAATTTCTATCTATTGATCATAAAAATGAAAGCATAAATCTTGTCCATGGTCTCAGGATTGATCTGTATAGAGATAGTACAAAAGAAGAGCCAAAAGCTCTTTCAGAGCTCTGTTTTTCAGAGACAAATTAGGGAGGAAAGCCACACTATAAGAATTTTGTCAAAGATAAAGAAAAGCTAAATTTAAAATCCGTAGGTTATGCTGTTAAGGATATTGATGAAAGACTGGTTGTTCTGCTTGGAAAGATAAGGTAGTACAAGCACATGCGTGGGTGTATGTGAGTATGCATGCATACTTTTGTGAATGAATACATGTGTCTACATATGAACACATAATCACAAATGTTTTCAACTAGATCCACTCTAAATTGGCAAAGTTTTCATGAAGCATACAGGTTTTGAGTTCCCATATCTTGAACCATTCTGCTGAAGGTTCTGTGTACTGTTCCTTTACACATAACAAGGAATATTTGGGGAACTATTCAGATTCAGGTGAATTGCCTTAGGGGGATGTGAGGCACAGAGCACGGAGCCTAGGACAAGTTTATCTCTCCTGTGCTAGGGAATAAGGTATTTCTAAAGTGGCCAGGTGTGGAAAGCTTACTACAAAGGTTAAAGAAAGGGTGCTGTACAGGAGAGTGAACTTTGAAGGAGGAATAAGACAGCAAGTGTAGGAACTGTGGTGCTTACCTGCAAGGGGACCCTTATCAAAGGCTTATTTCTTTTCCTCTGGATTCATAGCACCCAGTTGTATGATTTTTCTTACGTTGTAACTTACTCTAGCTTTTCTGTCTTCTCAGAAAAGTAAATTTTGTAGAAAAGATATTACCCGTTCTCCAGCCTTGTTAGTCATGTTGTGGGAGCAATGGTCAAGGACATGACAGTAAATAGCAGAGCAGTCTCACCTCAGTCTTGAAGCAATGTAACTGGAACCACATGGAGTAGAAAAGGAAGATAGTGGTCCTAGAATTCCTAGAAGGCTCTCAGGAGTGAAAACTCAACCTCATTGCAGAGTGGTGCTTAGGAGCTATGGGACTACAGACTGCTGCAGCATGGGCAAATGAGGGGGAAAAGGGAGATTGATCCCTTGAGGTGAGGCAGGGGTGAAGAAAGTGAGGAGCCTGGGCTGGGCTGACAGTGTGGTTTAGGGTCTTTGAAAAGAAGTCTAAGAGGACCTAGGAATGAGAAGATTAAAAAAAGAACTTTTATATTCTTTCAGTGTATTGCAAATATCTTACGTATGTAATTTAAAAAGTCAAAATAAAGAACCAAAATATATTTTATTTGATTTTCTGAGGTCATGAGATTGGGGTAACAAACCAAAGCAAAATACAAATTTTTAAAAGAGTGGGTTACACTCAAAATACATTTCTTAAGGATTTCAACTATTCTGAATTATACATAGACCACTGGAGGAAAAATCACTAGTTAGAAAAAAAAATTGGTTGGGGTAGGGATGTAGCTCAGTGACTGAATACCTGCCCACCACTCAGGAAAGTCCTGGATTCATCATCACCACCCCCATCATCACCACTGCCACACACACACACACACACACACACACACACACACAAATGTGGTTGAAGTTGGTGCATAACTTCAACAATTTACACAGTCAGAAAATATGAAAATATGCCAAATGAATTCTACTTGTCAAAGAAAAGAAATTCAAAGAGTGAAAAAATAAACCTCAGCATGCCATTGTTAGTTTTTACATTTAATAATTTCATCTAAGTAACTCTGACTATAAAAATATTGCTAAAAGATTTTCATATGTTCCATAGTTTAGAATATAAGTATACATAGAATAGAAGCCCTGATTATCCATTGAAGCAGAAGGTCTAATAAGGGCAAAACTAGTTATAACAGCAGTGCACAGAGAAAGTATGATTTACCTATGTTAGTTCCTTGTATCTGTTCTGGAATCAGTCCCACATCATACGCAGTGATTAAGAAGGTGACTCTGAGTATGGCCCAGTTTGGGAGCACTCAATCAACCCAGCATAATCATTAAACTATACAGATTCATTCATCTGATCTACAGATCAGATGGTTATCTTTTGCTGTGTCCTCACACGGCCTTTTTCTGTTCGTATGCTTCCTTGCCTCTCCTTTTTTTTTTTGTGGTACAGGGGCTTGAACTCAGGGCCTTCACCTTGAGCCACTCCACCAGCCCCCTTTTTTTGTGATGGGTATTTTCTTTCTTTTATTTTATCATTTTTAGATGTGTATACATTGTTAGGGCCATCTTCTGCCTTCTCCCCCCACTTCCAGACAGAACCTGTTCCACCCTCTTGTTCTCCAGTTTTGTTGAAGAGAAAACATAGAAGATAATAAGAAAGACAAAGCATTTTTGCTAGTTTGTGATAAAGATAGCTATGCAGAGAGATTCCTAGCATTGCTTCCATGCACATGTGTATTGCAACTCACATTGGTTCATCTACTTCCTGGTTCTATGATGGGTATTTTCGAGATAGGGTCTCACGAACTATTTGCCTGGG